GGAGGATTCGACCATGTGTTGTGCCTTGGGCTTACCTTGATAAAGAGCCAATGACTTGTTATCCGTCTGAGGAGTCGTTGTACCTTGGGTTTACCCTGAAGAGGTACCAAGGTCTTGTAATTCGACTGAGGAGTCGAATGTCTAAAACTCTTGAAAGTTGACTAGGGCTTTCTTTCCCCTAAGGCCAAGAGATGACTGTGGGAGTCGGCCAAAGGGTTGAGTTTGTTTTGCTAGGACTCTTGTCATATCATTTTGCCAATATCTGTATATTGGGTGAGTGAATACCATAACAATATCCATATCCGTTTTTTATAAACAGATACGGATGCGGATACAGATTACCTTCGGTAAGAAAAAACCTTAACCATATTCACACTTATCAGAAACATATATGGTTCAGATATTTAAGAATCGAATCAGATATGATCACGGATATAAAACGAATATTCGACAAATAGATATGAATCATATATTTATTAGTACACCTATGTATAAATTACACCAATGTGGTGGTTTGAACTTGCTGACCAAGCGAAAAAAACTAAAACTAGTAATTGTAGATGTCATCAACTTTCAGTACTCAATAACTTTTTGCATGTTTCAGTTTTCATTTTATCAATGAGTTTACTGTATCACTCAATTTTGGAGGGAAAAGACTACAACAACAAGTCTGAAAAGGGCGAAGTCATTATGGAATCATTGTGTGTACATATCTTTCCTTCTCATCCTACATACAAGACCTATGATACTAAAGAGTAATTTAATATTCAATGCGGCCTTAGCAACATGCTCAGAGGAACTTTATAGGCCATGGATTAGCAAATGGTCTATGCTATATTAGCAACATGCTCAAAGGAACTTTATAGGCCATGGATTAGCAAATGGTCTATGCTATATTGCTACGTGACCAAAATCTCATACTCACATATAACATATTGACAATGAAGTTAAAAGAAGAGTCTCAATTCGACCTTATGGAATAGACGGCGGATCCGACGACGAGATCTGACGGCGTGCAGCGAAGATGAGGCAGGTGAAGACGAAGTGGGTGATGGCGAGATCTGACGACGGCAGGTGAATTGGTCGAAGCGGGATCTGGCGAGGCGACGAAGCGGGCTAGCCGAGGCGACGCCGGTGAATTAGCCGCGACGACGCGGGAGGCGAATTTGTAACTTTGTTAGGCAAACTCGGAAGTCGGGACGAACGACGCCGGTGGTTTTGCAACTTTGTTAGACGAATTCGGGCGGCTGCGACGACGACGCGGCGAACTCGGGCGGCTGCGAAGACGACGACGACGAACTCGGGAGTCAGGACTATCGATTGTTGAATTGAGTGGGATTGTGGGAGGCTGGAGTTGAATAAGTGGCGGCTCGGGTTTTCTAACTTAGTTTTGTAGTTGGGTTTTGGATTAGCGGTTACAGGTTTGTAACTTTGAATACAACCCGAATCCTTTATGTTTATTAAATTACGGATATTCGTATCCGCAACCCTCATATCCGTATCTGAATCCGTATCTAAAAAAAAATCCGAAACCGGATCCGTATCTAAAATTGGATCCGCCATGTTTTAAAAAAAGCTTACCATATCTGTATCCGTTCAGATATGGATGCGGATCGGTTCGGATAAATCTGAACCGTTTAGCACCCCTAGTCACAAAAAATATTAATGACAGAGAAATGATGGCGGCGATTATACATTTAATAGCTTTTATTATGAGGTGATCAGCTGTCAGTGTACGGGAGGGGGCTCGAGGCTCGAGATAGTCGTCGCCTTTCTACGCGTATGGTAGAAAGTCGAGAAGTACCGCCTTTTGAGTCACATTCGCAAGATGTCTGCCGAATGGTTGGCTGAGTAAGTTGATCATGAAATCGACCTAGCCAGGGGTCGACATATCAGCCTCACGAGATGTCGGCGTGTCGAGTCGTTCGAGCTAGGTTTTTGGTTATCTTGAAGTGAAAAGCTGGCTCGATTACGCATAATATCGGACACTTGTCTGCTATTGATTGGAGATTAATTTTTAGCACTAAAACGGTTATAACAGTGAATGTTTTGGATTTGAGGGGTTAAGTTCAAGATAACTTAAAGATTAGGTAACATATTAGCAATTTCAATCATTGGAGGGATTAAGTTTAAAATAATTTAAGGAATATTATGGGACATCAATGATTTGGGGGACTATTTCAAAATATTAAAGATTTAAGGGAGTATTATCAAAATGATCATTTTTTAAAATTTGTTTCTGGTGAGACTATTGATAAACTAAGCTTCATGTTTGTCAATTATCATTTTTTAGCTATTAACTAATTTTTATTATTTTCTTCTATATTATGGAATTTCCAATGTAGAGAAGACAATTTAGCTCCCGTTCTCTCTTACAAGTTAAAATACAAGTTAGTTTAGCTTTCTATTCTTTCTACTATCTATTTTTTTTGAATTTAAGTGTTAATATCGCTACTCCCTAAATCATCATTATATGAACATTTATACTATATGGTGTCCTTGATTAGATTTACATATACATACTATTATTCTCACTATTGGATCATTCAGCTTGAGAAATATAGCAACTAATGATGAAAATAGTCATGTATTCTTGTATGCATGATTTTACTCTAGAATGATCAGAATTTCTTTCTAATTCTTTATTTTAGATATCTATTTTTTGTGTTATATAATTTCGTCAGTTTCCTATCCACTATCCACGAAACATATTAAGGATATGAACAAATATAATTACGTTTAATATATAGTACTTGGTTATTAGTTTAATATATCACCGGAAAATTGTTATCGTACTTGGTTATTAGTTTAATATATCACGGGAAAATTGATTCTCCTAATTTGAATATCTTAATATTTTTAAGTCTAATAGTTATCGTACATGGTTATTAGTTTAATATATCACGGAAAAATTGTTTCTCTTAATTTGAATATCTTAATATTTTTTGGCAACGGGTGTAATTTGATTGGGAAACTCTTAGGTACCTAAGGAGAGTTCGAGTTCGAGTTCGAGCCCTCACACCATCCTCAGATATTATCTATTGGCTATTAGCTCACATATTACATATTGGCCTTCATCTCATAATAGTGTTGGGAGACTTATGAAAACTATTAAATTATAGCTTTATCTGTCTTAGTTGCCTAAAAATCAAACAACCACCCTCCTAAGTCTAAAGGACAAATTTTGAAAAGAAATATATTTCCAAAAATAATTGTAAAAAACGACATCTTTGAAACTTATTTGTCAAAAGTAATCCGGTTTCAGCCAACTGACTGAAACTGAGTCTTTTTTGGCAAAAATAAAAAAAACCAAACTTCACGGGACTTCAAGTTCCGTGAAGTTTTGTTATGTAAAAAACTTCACGCAAATCCCATGAAGTTTAATATTTTTTCTCATAAAAAAACAACCTAATTTCAACCAGTTAGCTAAAACTGGATCGATTTTGACAAATAAGTTTCAAATAGGTTATTTTTTATGAATAAGTTTGGAAATGAGTTGGTTTTCAAAATTTGTCCTACATCTAAAATATCAAAGTTTCCCATACAATAATCTTCACGTTCATCTCTAAAGAGGAAAAATATCATTAACACTAAGGAGACGGTTGAATACTCACTACATTGTAGTAGATTACTAGTCAGAGTGGCTCATCCAAATAACTTCACATTATGAGGGATAACAAGTCCAAATATGATACTATTGTTTATTAACATCCTAAGAACACTTTAGGCATGGGCACAACTTTTTTATGAACCACAGCAAACAAAATTAACCATCATCAGAGAACATCCAATATAAATCTGAATATTCCAAGTAAACAATATGAAGCAGCAGTTCTCAATAATGATACAGCTTAGACAAGTGGGATTAAGAACAAACAAACCAAAAGGCACACCTAATTGCTCACTAAAAAGTACAACAAAGAAAGAAATAAACTGGATGAATGCCTGCAAGAGTTTGAGACTTGGAACAAGAAAACAGGGCACAGCATTGGCTACTCACAAGCCAATT